GCTCCTGCCCTGAGCTCAGGCGTGGGAGGGCTTTGTGCTCCGGCGGGTGCTGAGGATTTGGGTTTGTCTTTTCTCTGGGATAAAAAGGGATTTGCTTCAAAAAGAAAAAAATAACCCCAAACCTCTCGGGACAGCCCCCAGGCAGGGTGGGTGCAGGCAGTTGGCATCTCTGTCGTGGTAAGGAGTCCTGTGGACTTGCACCCATCTGTTTTTTGGGTGCAAATGCAGTGGGAGAGGGTTTTCCAGCCTTGGGGGGTGTTTTTTGCAGGGCATGGCCGGGTTTTTGTGGTGTGGGGAGGAAGTGAGGCCAAGCAGGGTGTCACTTGGCTGCTCATTATCTGCACCCACGTCAAGCCCCAGCCTCTCCTCTCCCATCGAGCTGGACCAGCTTTGGGCTGTGGACACTTTCCCTGGGGCACAGTAGCCCAAAATCCAGCAGGACTCATGTTTTCTATAGGGTTGCCCTTGGCTAGTCTGTATTTAAGAGCCAGGGTGGCTTCCAGGAAGCTCCTTCATGCACCTTGGCCAAGCACGGGCAAGAGAGAGGGATGCTCTGTCCTCTCAAACTGCAGGATGTCACCTTGGGACAAGCCTGGGAGGGGGCTGGGGGGGTGATGGGGGATCCGAGGAGGTCGGAGTGATGGGGAAACTCATCTGGTCTCCAGCCTCCCTGGACAGCTGGCTCGTGCCCGGAGGGCTCAATTCTCTTTTCTCCCACCCAAAAGAGGGTGGTGACAGGGAAACCACCCCTGTGGATGGCTGTGGTTTGGTTAAATCCCGACTCTGCCCTAGGGGTGGTTTGGGGTACAACCACATCCCAAAACCCCGTCAGGCCCCGTGCAGGAGGTTTAGCAGCAGCAGGGTGGTGTTCAGAGCTGGTTTACCAGGGTTTGCACGGACTTTTACACCCCACGTCTCACACGTTTGAGGCAGAGTCACCTCTGGCCCTACTCATCACATCCTCTGGCTGCTTTCCACAAGCATCCCAGGGTGATGGCACCGTGTCTTGGCTGTGCATCAAGACCAGGGGGTGATCTTAAGATTTTAAGGTGGTTTTTTTTTCTAGTTTTGGAGTTACCCAGGTGGAGAAACGCTTCTGCATCAGGATTTTCCATGTCAAGGTGGCCCTTGAAGGTTGGACTGTCCTCCTAGAGCACCTAACAGTGATTTTTGTTGGGTATGGGCTGAAGCAAGAGCTCGGTGTGGGCTGGGAGCATCCCTCCCGCCAGCCCGTATGAAGCACAGTTGTTGGTTTTTGTCCTAAACCACAATAGATTTGCATGTTTGTGAGGAGAACAAACTGCAGGGCATGGCTAAGCCACACACAGAGGTTTGCCCACCATCCTACCAGCTGGAAGTAGATGTGGTCTCGCCTTGGGTGGGCGGAGGATTTCCTCCTCTTTTACTCCACACGCGTCTTCTGGAGGGAAAGGAAAGGAGCTGCCCCAAAGGCAGCTTTCATGGGGGAGCAGCCCATGAGCAGGACACGCTGGGGCTGGAGGGGCCCCGAGTGTGGTTGAGCCACTTCATCCAGACATCCATCTCAGGGTGGAGATGTTCCATCCTGGAGACATCTCCTCTGGAGACCCTCCTCTCCTTCCAACAACCAGAGAAAAGGCTGAGAATAAGCGAAAAGGAGGTGAGTTGTCCTTCAGTGGGCTGCAGAAGTGTGCATCTCCTTCACAAAGGATACTGGGGTGCAACAGGTTCACCTGAGCACCCCAGGACTGGAGGAAGCCCTCCAGAGAGGGTCACTAAAGAAGCAAAACACCACAGGTTCAAGGAATATCCTCTGTGGCTTTTCAGTGTGGTTCACACCTTCTCTGGACCCCATCCTCCCCAAACCCATCCCCATCGTGCTCAGCACCCTCAACTGCGTCATCTACCTCCGTCCTCCCTGACAGATCCCCCCCATCTGCAATATTTTTCCATGACAGAGAGCTATTCTGAGGTACTTTATGGCCCAAACCGGAGCTATGATTCCCACTTTAAAGGCTCTTTCATCTTCATTAGGCCAATCTGAGAGGTTTATGTTTATAAGGAAGAGGCGAAATCCGTTTAGGAGACCTCGTTGAGCGGAGCGGCTGCAGGTGAGGGGCTGAGATGAAGCATCTTCTG